AAATACGCCGGCATCTTCACTCATATCTTATGAATAGTTGAAAAAGATCACTTTTGATTGAAAGGGATTGAGTTTTCTTATCGGTCAAAATTGTTAAATATATCAGACAATCGAACTTTATGAGTTTTATTACTGTTGAAAGTATCAAAGCATTCCGTTGTTGACGCATATAACACGATTGACTGACATTTTACTAACAAAATGCCTCATAGGGTATAAGAAGAATCTATTTGGAGTATTAATATATTTTCAAAAATTTCGTACGTAGTGGTAGAAATTACCGATAATTATGATTAAAAGAACATAAAATCAAAACTCTTTCATTCCGAAAGACAAAAGTCATTCTTTTGAAGAAAATTTACAAAAAAAAAACAATTAAAAAATTAGCAAATAGTTATCATCGAAAATTTCAGCAATATTTTGAAAAATGATCTTGAAAAAAGTAATAGAACTGAGCTGAAAATTCCAGATATCACTAAACTCATCATTATCTACAGAATGTAAAAAAAAAATCAAGAAATGCTGAGATATTACCCTCTCGTCACTCCACTAAATGGCTTGGTTTGCTCAGATACTCACTCTTAAAATGTACAAAACAAGGTCTTTTTATGAGATAATTCTCTTTGAAGTATCTTTTTACTAAACAAATTAAAAAGATTGATTCTTTTTTCGTTCAACGATGCATAACAAGACAAACAGAAATGTCTCGTTCAATAGTAATTACAGAATCTATACATCAAACTTTCATTTACCTGGAGTACTAGAAAAGTTTTTTCGTCCATTGTAATGCTTAAAACATATTTAGAATTATGTGCAAAATATCAGTTTTTATGTCTTATGTATCGTTGTATTTTTGTCATGTCTTTCAGATTTGTCACATACCATTTTCAGTATAAGTTTGAACTCTCTCAGTGAGACATAAACTTCGTCCAACATTAGATTATTGATATCCAAATAGAGAATATAAACTGGGTTTAGACAGCCGTAAGCTCGACTAGTTTTTATCCTACGTTGGATTTAATCATCGATATTAAAATTGTACGTACATGCAAAATCATCGTACAAAACTATTCACGTGAGTTTTCGAACTCATATCGGAAATGGTATGTGAATAATCTGAACGAAATGAAAAAATACTATGACGTATGAGACATAAAAGATCGACACTTGGCACATATTCCTAATTGTATTTAAGCGTCTATAATAGAACATGTGAACGCACATTATGGCTGCTAGGAGAATCGGACGAAGAAAGTTTTCTAGTGGTCCATGTATATGACTTATGTCGAACAAGATTTAAACTGGTTCTCCTACAAAAAATAATCTTGGACCAGGTACATTCATATCGTATGAAACTTTCAGGATATGTTGAGACTGCACTAGAGAGATTAAACTAAAATTTTTAACCCTATACCATCATGTTTTTATGAGATATTCAACAAATAAGAGTAAAAAACAGCTCATTTTTGACGACCCAAAATTCTCTTTGACCCCTTATTCGGTATATTAAATTTTTTTATTTAAAATAGCTTGTCAAGGTGTAGTACCCAGTAGAGCCTATTTTTGGAATTCTTAATTTCTATGCGGAGAAACAGGATGGCAAATTTAGTATCTCAAAAAGCAGTCATCTATTTGTAGAAGTGCATTTTGAGATAATTATAATAAGACCTAATTAAAAAACCGAACTCTGTCAGATATTGCAGCTGCATATGCTCTTTTGAACACAAATAAAAGTAATTGGCTACAATTAAGCTCTTTCGAGAATTTCGGCACGCATGATTGAAAAAGCATAAACGGAAAAAAAACCGAAAAGACTGTCTTACTTTCTCTAAAAAAAAGCATATTTTTTCAATCAGAATGTGATGGAAATCATCGAAAATTTTTCAACAAAAAAAAAAAAAAAACAACGTACCAAATAAAAGATTCATACTGTCTGTGAAAGATTCAATCTCAAGCTATCTACCTGTGCATTTATTTTAATTTCAATTATTCTAACGAAAATGAACTTTTTGAGAGAAGCTTAATATTGATTAAATAAGTCCTATATTGCTCACTGTGATTGTAAATATTAAATTATACCCACATTTGCCGAGTTGTTAGTCTGTGTACTATTCACTAGAAATAATGACAGAAATATTGGTTGCTATTGTGTGTTAAAAAAATAGGTGCCGTGACTATTTTTCGAATAACTTGAGAACGAAAGCAGCTAGCGTGCTGCGGTTTTCACCAGTCAAAAGAGACAACACTAGAGTATCTTTTTCTCCAATATTGTATAAGATGAAATCATTTTAAAATCAATCATTTCTGCAAAACGTTGCAAAAATCCATGAAAACGATATGCCGTCCCGATGAATTTTGATCTTAATATTGGGATTTGGATAGAGGAACCTTCAATCTATAGTTTAAGATATAATCTGAATGATCATCTTCACGTATTATAATGTTAAGAAAATCAAATTCTTTATTTACTCTCTCGAAAAGTATGAATTTCTCTTAATTTTTAAGCGAATTTTCTTACTCTTTGTGAAAGTTTTATCTCAACAAAAGTCAATTTTTGTGCCTTTTTTCGATGTTTTGTAAAAACGTTTGGTTTTAAAATGATTTCGCGTCATACAATATTGGAGAAAAAGATGCCCTAGTGTCGTCTCTTTCAACTGGTGAAAATCGCAGCTCTTTAGCTCTTTCCTTTCTTGACTTATTGCAAAAATGGCCACGGCCACTATTTTTTTTAACAGACAATAATTGTAATACCTTGATAATCGTATTAAACTATGGATTTGTTGAAAGCAGTAGATCCATCATTTTAGACTTTATTCGATTACAATGGTTTATTTTTATATCTTTAATACGGAAAGCTTTTTGTGAAACACGATTCATACACAGATATTTATGTCATTTTTATTTATAGAGAAAAGCACATAATCATTTGAAATAAAAAAAAAAACCATTGTATTAACAAATATAGTGTCGTTTTAAAAAGAGATATACATCTTATTTAATTTTTTGAATACAATGAAGTTTTGACGATTTATTAAAAAAACCACATCAAATTGTTATAGTAACTTATTAAATAAATTGTATTCAATCAGATTTATATCATAGCAATGAATAGATTTTATTCTAACAAACCAAGACTATCATAATCACTATTTAATAAATAATTGAAACCACTTCATGATTGTAATGAACTACTTTCAAATATATATCATTAGTATCGTGAGTGTATTCAATTGAAGAAAACAAATTTAAATAAAGAAAAGTGAAAAAAAAAGAAGAAATCCATTCCTGACGGCAAAGAATATTTAAAGAGAAAAAAAACAATTATTCATTGTTGTTCATCCATTGAGAACGACAATATTTAAAAATTTACTATCGTTATAGATCGTCAAAAATAATAAATAACATCTACTGTAGTGAAAACATACATATATATATATATATATATATGTAAATAGAAAATGCACGATGATGGTTATAATTGTCGACAAGAATGATGATTACTTATGCACGTTACAGTTAATTATAACTTTCGTATATGATTGTCATGTGCGATTGAATGTCAGAGAAATATGACTTAACTCTTAGTTTTCTTATTACATATATATCTGTCATATCTTCTAAATCTATTATTTTAGTTTTGACATATAGTGCTGCAATTTGATGGAACATCAATGACTAGATACGATATGACAAACATTAATCCTTCTATCGTTTTCTTATAAATCTAAAACGCTATGAACTGATTATATCAATAGCATTAATGCAATTTATTTATTTTTATCAAATTAACAGTTTGAATTAAAATGTTAAATAAGAAGTTGACTATAAATAAGATTATATTGCAAATTTATTTTCGAATTTTAAGAAATTCAAAATTGATTTAAAACTAATTAAAACTCGATTTCTTTTTATATATCTTGTCTAAATATAAGTATGTGTTTCAATGGAGATTTTTTAGCTACTTAAATCGAATGAACTTTAGCTAGTTTCAATATGTTTCAAATAATTGAAGAATTTTGTGTGGGATAAAATCGTTTGACTTGAACGAAATATTCATATTAATATTATCGATATAAATATTTTGTATATTTAACAATTTTAATTATATTTGTTTTGAAAAAACCTTATCTTAATTTTATTCAACAAATCTATCGACGGTAATTTATGTTATTGACTTTTACTATTTCTACCAACGACGAATAAACAGCACATCTTGTTTATTTTACATATTGTGCCTTGTATTAGAAATAGAAACATGACATTCAATGGGCGTAAACCACGGAAGATAGACATTCATTAAAATATAGGATTGAGTTAGAAGACCATGAGTATACTGTATATTAAGTAGAAAAACATGTCATGACTTTCTAACAATATATATTTGTTAATTAACGGATTTGAGTTATTCTATATAGTAAACAACGATTTCCGTTGACTTTATTTTTTGTGTTAATATTGAACATTGATAAATTTCATGATATCTACTAATAAAATCCTGTAGAGTGAAAGATTTTCATTAAACTAAATATATTCTTTTGTTCTTCTATTATGGAATCTTGAGAAATGTTTACTATTTTATAATAATACCAATAAAAGAAAGAATCCTTAAAATTACAATGGGTTTTCTTTCAAAATCTTGTGTAAAACTATCCAATAGGATTTTATACAATGGGATCCTTCTTTAAAACTATTCAATGTTTTATTTATTATATATAGTCATTATTCAGGGTACCCCCTAATGTGGGAAAAAAAATAGAGATCGATAAAATTTTATTGTCATATCAAAATAGATATTTTTTCATAAAATAAATCCGTATTATACTAAAAGAATATGTCTATCCGTCAATGAAAATTAGAAAAATATTTAACAGATGAATTTATGATATTAGAAAATATTCCAAGATTATTTTATTTGAATATTCATACCAATTCCAACATACTGTTGTGTATTTTTTTCTTTATTTTAAGACAAAAGAACTATATGTATATATTGTTCAATCTTAATTGATCAATGATGATAAATAACGTCGAACTCGATCTCGTTTGGTAAATGTAATTTTGTCATTGTGACCAATAATTGGTCGAAGACTGGCTTTTTTATATAAAACATGAGGATGATAACGTAATGAAGCTCGTCGAAAATCTTGATGATGAAGAAGTCGATGATGTTGAATAGGTAATGTTTCATAAAGATCATCACCAAGATCAATATCATTCAATTCATAATTGTTATCAACCTTTTTTGCCGAATGAATTTGACAAAAAATGAAAACTAAAACATATGAAAAAAACAACAAAAATAAAATAAATCTATATTCTTCAATCATAAAATCATACGTGTCAATACTATAATGCATTTGATTAAAGTTGACATTGAAACCATGGTAATATTTGTAGAGAAGACTACGTACAGCTAAAAGAATAGAATTATTTATTTCTTGTTTCTTGTTCCTTCTTTTTTTTGACACAGCTGTCGATGTTACAATCGAAACGGTAGATATATAGGCGTATTTTAAAAGCAAAAAGAAAAAAGAAGGAGAAAAAAAATAGCAAACTGATAGATGAACATAGCTAGTTGAACGGAAAAGGCGGAGATAGACTGATTGCGACAAAGATGACGAAAAGTCTATGCTGTCTAGAAGCTAAAACTTGTCATTCAATGATTATAATAACTAGGTTGTCGCTACATTTATATGATTATATTGTTTTCTTTTTTTTTGTCTCCCGCTTTCTTCATATGATAAAAAAAAAAAACGTGGATTTTGTAAAGTTCATTTAAGTATGAAATTTATACAAAGAATAACATTAGATATGTCACCTTAATTATCCTATGAATTCGAGCATACAAAATTTGTTCTGATTTATCATTGACATTAATGAACCTAGGTCGAATAAGCTAGAATAAAAAAAAACCTTAGAAGAAACATTTTTGATTTTATCAGATAAAAGAATTTAATATTAAAATTAAAATTTTAATAAAAAAAAATGTAGAGAGAAAACAAATATATTCATATATTATCATTAATGACGTTTTTATGAATATCATTGTTTATTAGATGAAAACTAAACATCAGAATTTAATCATTTTTTAATTGTCTTATTATAATAGGATTTATTATTTATTATAAAGTCGTAGGAAAAAGTTTAGGAACAACTAACTTCAGCTCACGTTTTTGTCATGCCTTGTTCAACATGGGAAGCAACAATTCGATTTCTAAAGACATCATATGAAATGATGCAATGTATTTGACACAATATGTTAATCAACTTTGGAAATCTTTTATCTTAAAAATCTAAATTCTGCAACTTATAGAATTGTCTATATGATTTTTATGAAACATTTAGGCTTGTTTTTGTGATTATGTAACGCAAAATCGATATAAAAATACATAGTTGGAAAAAGCACAAAAAGTATCATCGAATAAAGTATTTTAAGTATTGATAACAAGTTCTTTACCATTGGCTGTAATAAATTTTTCTCTTTTTTCTCTAGTAATATCATTTGAATGAAATATTTGAATTATTTATGGCAATTTTTGCGATCCTATAATTATTTTTGCTCTTGAGTCTAATACCTGGTTCAAATTCTTTACAAAATGATGTACTTGACAACTATAAAACACATGAATTCAATATGAATCTGATAATTCTTTTTAGATCTATGAGAATAATAATTCGTTCTATACTTAAATTCACTGTTTTTATTGAGTATCATGCAACTATGCGAAAGATTGATTAAACTCATGTTGTATTTGTGTGTTTGATAATCTCAAAATACATGAGTTGTTAGAGATTTTGGCACACTATTAGACTCAATGACAAAAATAATTATAGGATCTCAAAATTTGGTAATTCATCAAACTGTTATTGAAATTTATTACAGCCAATGGAAAAAAAAAACTTGTTATCTACACTGAAAATACTTTAATCAATGTAAATTTCTGTACTTTTCTCAACGGTGTAGGTTGATAGAACAGGTATGTTACATACTTAGGGCATACCAAAAGTACTGGCAGTGACACTTTAATACCCTATAGGAGACTTTAAGAAACTTTCTTTCTATATAGTCTGATAGAGAAAAAAATGCTCTATCTTTCTATACTATTTGATCGTACTTCAGCTAATCTCATAATATTAAATTATCCATAAAACCTATTTCGGCTGATTATGTGCTGGTTGTACTAGATTACAACGTGTGAGAACAGACTAGTTTTCAATCCCTCAAGACATTGTATGAACAACCAAAATATACCATAAGATGCAGCGTGAAAAGCTCTACAATTTACATAAGGCCATTTATTTTATAGCTTCACTTTTTGCTTTCAAAATCGATAAAGTTTTGAGGATCAAATTTTTGGTATTGAGAAAATTGGTCGCATAGAATTTTCCTTTTTTTGAAAACAATTACAATAAGCTTTACTGTATAGATTGTAGAGCTTTTCACGCTGCATCTTGCGGTATATTTTGTTTTTCTTTTGGTAAAGCATATCAGGTGATAAACAATGAAATAACAAAAATGAATTCGTTGCGTATCGAAAACATTGTCTTTTTCGCATCTTCACAATTTGATTGCTCCAAATTTTGTCGATTTCGAAAACAAAAATTGCAGCTATAAAATAAGTGGTCGTATGCAAATTGTAGAGCTTTTCACGCTGCATCTTATAGTATATTTTGGTTATTAATACAACTAGTAAGAAATCGAAAACTGCAATGCAAAACTTACAACCAGCATATAACCAGCCGAAATTGGTTTTATAGATAATTTAATACTATAAGATTAGTTGAAGTACGATCAAATAGTATAGAAAGATAGAGCATTTTTTTCTCTATCAGACTATATAGAAAGAAAGTTTCTTAAAGCCTACTATAGGGTATTAAAGTGTCACTGCCAGTACTTTTGGTATGCCCTAAGTAGCTATAAAAAAAAGTCGAGACTTTTTATGAAAACTACATAGACAACTCTATAAATTTTAGAACTTAAATTATGAAATAATTTGAGAAGAAGGTTTTCCAAAGTAGACGTCTTTGGAAACAAAAATGTTGATGATCATCATTGAGTACAGCATATTAAAAATGAGCGTACGTAAGTTAAGTTGTTCTGAAATGTTCTCTCAATCGAGAGAAAATGAAATCTTATTTTGAATACAGACACTGAAATCTTTGTAGTCTTACCACATGTAATTAGTGATGATAGATTAAGCCTAAGAGTATATCAATAATTAAAGTTTTCTTAGTATGTATCTTTAACCAGAATAAGAACAAATAATGTTCTTGTAAACCTATTTTTCCGTCACTTTATATCAAGAAAAATAAGATGTTTGATATTAAAATTTTTCAACAAAGAAAACTACTTGTCATCAAAGGATAATAACTCATTCAAATGTAATGATGATATTTTGAGTGATGAAATGGGTGAAAAAACTAGTTCGTTATAAAAGAGTTTATTTAAAATGATTAACTTAGAATCATTTTCATAATATTTGTATTTGAGTCAGAATTTTCTTTTTTTTTTCTTTTATCAATCCCATTGTTCCTTTACATAAGTGTGTTAGTGAAAGTCACATTTATATAAACTACGAATAGTTTTTCACACATAGCAATGAGTTCATCATAAAAAAAAACCAACAAAACAGAGCCAACAGATGTGAAAATAATTTTTATTTCTAGCAATATATTTGTAATATCAAAGTATTTTTAATGTTTGATAAATTATTGAGAATAGAAAATAAGTTTGAAAAGAATTTTCTTAGATAAAATAGACTTACGTAGTTTTCCTTTTTTTTTGTATGTTCTATACAAAGAGTTCTCATCAATCTATCTTAACAAATAGTTCAGTAAATCGGAAATGCATTCAGAAAACATTTTCTATTTCCTTCTATATTCATCATTTTTAAGTATGTCAATATATTTATTTTAGAAACTCCTATTCGATAAAAGAAAATTCTCAGACTTACTTGAAAACATCATAATAGTTTGTCGAAAATTACTTCATATTTGAAGAATAAGCGTTAATATCGATTTAAATTTGTTAACAATATCAGAGTAATTCCTTATGTTGAGATAAAACTGTAAGAACAATCGATTTTGAATAGTCTGATAAGCAAAAAAAACTTAACGGTCATGCAGTCAAATGTTGAACATCTATGCTCGTAGAATAACATCTAACTGCTCACATGTGTTTTATTGATAATTTTAAAATTCACTATTTTGAATAGATGTTTTCACGAAATTTTGGATTATTTGCAATGAAAGGTAACAGAATCTCTAACAGGATTCTAATTTTTATACTCGGTAAACCGAAATTTCGCAATCTGAATTTTGATAATTTACATAAATCCCGCCTAGACTTTTGTCAATAAAAATATTGTTAAAATTCCGACGAGAAATTGGACAAATTGTCAAAAATATAGAGTCTCACCAATATTCTCTTTTCGTTTCACTGCGGCTCGTCAATAAGCCAGAATTTCGATAATCTTTTTTATTGTGAAGATTCTGATAAATACTAGACAAAAGTGCAGAAATTCTACACAACCGGAAAAGAAAACAACTCAAGAAAGCTATTAAAATTAAAAAAGAATTATTGGCTCTTTAATGTCTACATATGCAATACTGAAGATATAATCTAAATTTCAATGAATATATTATACTGTCAACTATAAAACTAAACAAACATATTATTAAAAGATGAATAATATTAGATTAATCTCGTAACTGTTGTCTAGAAGACTAAGCATCACTTTTATCTTCTTGGAAAATGTTTTTAAAAAATAGAATAAAACAAAGAAAATAAAAGTGACTATTCTAATATCAGTAGTATATGAATTATGCTCAGAATTTCATTTGTCTTATTCATATAAATAGATAAGATAAAAAAAAACATTATGAGTGCTCAATAGGATTAAAATATAAGCTCCATTTATGAAAACAGTATTTGTATCGGATCTAATCAGAGAATCTATAGGAAAATAAATCAATTATACATATGACTATGTCGAACTTTGTTCATTTTTATATAAAGATGCACGATTCAAAAAAAAAATTAAGGTTAACAGTATCAGTATGAAAAAGTATTCTTAGCAGTTTAAAATTTCGTTTATATCTTGCAGAAATCATAGAATATTTTTCGAAAAAGCTAATGTTAAAATGAAAACTAAATTTTTATATAGGATATTTTTCTTTTTCAAATATTAGATAATATTCAAAAATTTCTTATTTATCAATTCATTATTCTTGTTATATATCGTAATTCAAGACTAATAATTATCTATAATAATTTATTATAAAATGAATAAATGTTCCAAAAAAAAACGAAATATTATAATTCGATAATGAAATCATTTGTGAGAAAAGTAATGATGTAAATTACCTCGACAATAGAATAATCAGAATTAGCCAATAATACGAATACGACTGCAAAGATGAAGTTGTTAACACAGAAGCAAATCTTTTCTGCATTCTTATATGATTGATGATCTGTAATCATTTGAATAATAAATCATCTATAACACCAATCATTCTACTTCCATCTAATAAAATGTTAGATTTTAATCAACATAGAGAACATATTTATCAGAATTCTTACTTCTATGTTCATTCTTTGTGTTCATTCATTTGTAAACAATTCTCAATAAAAATTATTTATTCGATTTGATTAATACATTATTTTGCTAATTAAAATAATCAAATAAATCTCATCTTTTGAAATGTTTTTGTTCACATCTTCGAATGTTTTCAATAAATATTTTATTCAATTCAAATTAATTAAAATATTATATGAAACTAATAGTTCTAGTCGTCTAACTATCATAACTGATAAATAGAAAGAAAGTAAAATCATGTGTATACAGTTCTTTTTTTTCTTTGTTGATAAAGAAGGAAAAACCTCAGGATCATTCCTAACAAGAGGTGATTCAACAGAAGAAATCTTCAAATAAGATGATATAACGACAAATTTTATTTTTACAACCAAGATATTTTCTTTTTTTTTCAGACTATATTTGATCAATAATTTCATTATATCTAATCTCAAAGTTATTTTCAATTATAAACATTGGTATGCATAAATACAAAAATAACACACAAAATGTAGTAGACAAGTAAAAAATTTACGAAAATTCAAAGACATGTTATTTTGTCGAATTTGTTCTATTCTACAAAATGAACAAAGAAAAAAGACATTTTTTTCTCAACTTGTGCAGCAGCTTTTTAACAGCTACGCAATGATCACTAGCATTTTCTAGTTAAAGATCATCTAACAGAAAACTTCTATCTATCATGATGTTGAAAAGGAAAACGTATAGTTGTTTGCAAAAAAAATATTGTACTATTTTGCTTTACAGGAATTTTCTTTTATATGTATCTATTTGAATTGCTTTACCTCTCGAATGATAGATCACACAGACTACTGTATAGCAGCATAATTTAAAATTTTCATTTATTGAATTTTGGTAGAAAAAACAAAAAAACATCACTCTTGCATATAAAACGTACAATTTATTACAACATTAACATTAACATTTTAGAATTCTTATTAAAAATCATTTGAGTTCTTTGATGTTTCTTCCGGTATTTTCTACTTTCAACTTTATGTGTTTACGCCTGACTAAATATTTTCTGTCTGATTTAGATTCAGACTATTAAGCCTTTGGGACCGGTGATACAAGGGTTGTATCACCTATTTTCCAGTAAGGAAAATGTTTTTTTCTCATAAAACTATTATCATCTGTAAGATAATAGATCGTTCCAGCTACCATCTCATACATATCTTTCCTCTTTTTCTTCTTGTCATATAGATGCTTCTCAGATCTTCTCTTTTCTTTCTGCTGTATACACTGACGCCATGATCACTTTCTTTTTTATCTTGATGTATTGTCATGAGGCTTTTATGTAATCATTTTGATCCACATACAATTAATTGACGAAAGAACCATTTTTTCAATTGAAAAATAATTCCATCCCCAAAGGGTTAAGCTGATCTGTCCATTATGTGAGGTGCATTGTCATTGATAAATTGTTTATCAATATTACTATTGTATTTGAGGTTATGATTATGTTATAGACGTTAGTTTTCGTGAAACTTCCTTAAAAAACAAGGAATAGATAGTTGAAGAATGTTCCGTCTCTTTAGATCGTCTTTATGTTTTCGTTTATATCTTTTAAGTAATATCTGATTGTTACGGCGAATATATTGATCAATGACTCTTTTCTTCTTTTATACTGAGAGTATATTATCGATCAGTTCTCCTTCAATACTCAACTGAATTGATTTGTTTTAATTTGTTCATATTATGAATAGAGAGATTATATAAGAACCTTTGTTTCAGACTTCGCAGCGCTAGTCTAATCTCATGACCTTGCTTCCATAATATAACATGAATAGATAACAGTTATTTTAAAAGGAAAAGGATTGTATGTCTTAATTTTTATATATCCAAAACAAAACAATCGCGTTTTGCATTAGGTTATTTCTTTACCAATTGACGATGAATGACCACCGAAAAAATAAAATCTAAAATTGTTTCATAAAACTTGAAAACGCTAGGAAAGAATTACTAGTTTTGTACAAGTTGTTTTTGCAAACAGGTGTATCTGTTATACCCATGTTAGAAGCTAGATATTACTTGGAGAGCTATAATAGCTATATGACTAGTAGACGTGAGTGACTTGATTTCTCACTATTTAAATAGACTCTGGAGCCATTGTTCTTTTTGCTAGTAGGCCTCATTAGGTCCTATAACACTATAAATAAATCATAACTAAAATGCTTGTCTACTACTCTTCTATGAAATCACACCATAGTTGTTCATGAAAATCCTTGAAACTCGACATGTGTTTCATCGTTATCTCTATGAAAACATCATCAGATCATAATACCAAACTGATATCTCCAGTGAATGTAGTGATTTCAGGACACTCTACTGCCAGTATATCACACAAACCTTAGATACTTTGTGCATTTTTAGCGCTTGACTACAAAATATTTCTAAATATTCAATCTACTAACCTGTTGAAACATTTTTTATAGTATGCTTTAGAAACTGGACAGGTAACTGGGCCAATACCTAAAAAATCCCCCTGTACTGGACCATGTTCAGTAGGATACTCAACCAAGATTTTGTGACATATTGGTAGCAGAGTACCCGAAAAGGCACTCTACTGGCAACTGGTCCAGTACACGATAACCTTGAACTCAGTACATTCACTAGGGATACAATATCAGCAAAAAAAAACTGCATCAAATGCACAAGCTCACATTCAAAAAAACCAAAACTTCAATATTCGAATAGTGACCTAGGCACAGTAGCCAACCAAACAGACGTGACCGAAAGTTCTCTTTACCAAAACTGAAATATTGAAACAAATCCATTTATGGGTAATCTATCTTACCCTAGAATAAAATTTCTACAAACCAAGTCGAACGCTGGAAATGCTCATTGTCAAAACTTTCTTCCTTAAATTGGGTATTATACAGAAATCATTGCCACTATCTAATTAGCGACATATTCTAAAATGAAAAACTATCCGAAACGAATTTTTAGCTCAGAAGTTTTGTTGTGCGAAAAAGGTGTTTCAATGGAACTAGAAATGGAACAGAAAAGAGTGGTTCCTGGAACAAAAGTGTGTTCAAACATGTGTCATGCCGTATTTTGTGAACGCTATAAGGATTTCTAATCTGATTGAGCTGAAACTTTCACCGGTTATTTTCCTATATGTGATTCATTGTTGACCATAGCGCTGTATTACAAAAAGACATTTCCGTACAAAACCAAGGTAATATTCGGAATCAATTTGTTGAGGTACATCAAGTCATATATAACAATAAATGTTTCTTGAAGAAAAACATCGGTTCCGGAATTTGATAAAATTTTGAAAAACAGCCTTTCCGTAGTTTGCAAACGTTACAACAAATTTTAATCCGGTCGATCTCAAATTCTCACTAATTATTCTTCTATACTTGGTTCATCGTTGGCCATAGCACCATATCGTGCCAATGAGCAAAACCGGTACTATGAGCCTTCCAAAAGTTTAGATTTTTGCCCATAGATCTCTATTGTTGTGAACAAAGCATTCTTTTGGTGCAAAATCAAGACGATATTCAGAATCAACTTGTAAAATTGCATCGGAAACGTATGTAGCATCCATTTTTTGTAGAAAAAAGTTTTTGACCTTTATGCTGAAAATCTTCCCAAAATCGATTTTCTCGATTTTGTAAAAGCTACAAATAGATAAAGTCTAATTGAGTTCAAATTTCCAGCGAATATTCTTCTATGTGAGATCTAGCGTTGGTTTTAGCGTCGAATAGCGCTAATCAACGTAGACTGAGTTAGTAATTCCCAAAAAACCTTGGATATTTACCTTCAAATTCATTTTTTGTCTCTAAAACAACATAGTAGCACAAATCTAAGGCAATATGCGGAATCAGTGTATGAAAATGCATCAGATGATACGTAGCAGGATATACTTTCTAACTAAAAATTTTTTCCGAAAAATGTAGCAAGAATCCCTCCGTAGATGATTCTTGCAGAAACCTTCTTCTTTTTCAAAAAATGGTTTATTTTCTTAAAGATGATTTCCAAAGTGTTATATAATTACTTGTGAGCAATTGAAATGCAGTTTCAAGCACGAAAACTACATGTTCACCTGTTATACGAAAATTGCCCATTGTGTCGGATGTCAGTGTGATATGACGGTGTGTCTTACCTTAACTTTCACCTATACCTATACCGACACTCTACATCCATACCCCTCCACGCCCAAAGATAAAATACATTTGATAAACAACAAACAAAAACCTAACCTATTGCAAAGTTTTTATTCTTTAAATGCATTCAATTGTAATGAGCATAACACAGTAAAAATATAAAAAAACAGAAACAAAAAAAATGAAGTTCAATACTAATGGAACTCGAAAATTTAGCAACGTCCATATCACTGCTCCAGAAAATCACTAGTTCGCTCATGTAGCATAATCTTCAATTATTTAGAGACTAAATTCATATTCAACTTATTGATTCAGTTCATTTCCTATTTAAGATTGCTCTTTAAAACGAGTTAAGCTTGAAAATTCCGTGGAAAGTTGTGTGAAAAAAGAAAAATATTTCTAGTAAGTGTCTATACGTACAGAAATATTTGATCTCTCTCCCCTTTGTCCAGATTTGTTCAGTTTTGACGGTCGCTCCTTTACCTGAACGTCTTTAATGCTAAACATCTAAACGAACATTATAAATTTGTAATTGTGAAAATTGAGAAAGTTCATTGATGTGATCATGTTGCAAATAAGAGTGCATTGGCTGTTATATAGTGAGCTAGGATTTTTACAGCCTTTATTTTGTTGATATTCGTGAAAAACACTTTTGTTGTGTTGTTAGATTTAAGCAGTGAAAGAGCGATGTACATAGTTTAGAAAAAATTCATAAAAAAAAACCGCTTCGAAAAAGATGATAATTCGAAACGTGTCAGACAAGCTATTAACCCTTTGGTTAC